AAAAGCCGAGCTGGACGCTGGGTGGCGTGCTATAGGAAGTTTTTATTTATATTTTTGAAATCAGCATCATAAAATTAGGTATTACAGGAATTAGGAATGTTTTTTTTCAAGATGCAGGGCTGTTTTAATAAATTCTGATTGGAATGCTGGTCACCATTTGCTCCATTTGAAGCTGTTGATGTGCTGCCTGATGCTGTAATGACAAGAACACTAGTTTAGTTTTTGATTGGCCATGAAAGAGAAGATATATCTAGATTTGGCCTTCTGATGTTCGGCTATGACCCTGTCTGTATATTGTAGCTCTGTAGTGCATTTCTTACACAAGGTCAGTCGGTGTTGCTTTTCTAAAGTACGACTTGTGTGAAAGTTTTGCCCCTGATAGATCAGGTTCACACTTACAGACTTGGCCAGTTTGAGTTCCACCATTAAGTTTCTGACCTGGGAAACAAGAGCAAAGGTTTTGTCAAAAGATGTATTGGACTTCAGAAAGGCCATTGAGTGGCCATTGAGCTTTCAACAAATTCACCTTTCACCAGAGGCCATGAGAGGCTAATGCACTCCGAACAGAACTTGTTTTTGCGTTATCGAGTAGACTTTCCTTACCGTTTGGGGATTCGCCCGCGACGGCGCTGCCAGGAGTCATACCTTGGAGAAAAATAGCCCTTCAGTCTAAACAAGGTCCTGAAACTTTGGCCCAACAAACATGCAATCTAGCTGCGCTACAGGCTGGTGTTTTCCACGAATCTGTGCACCTGATGTTCAATCTTTCCACATTTATTAATAAATCGAGCAATGCGGCTAAAATCCCCACATACCTGATCCCTAAACCAGATTAAGTACTGATTGACTTTGCTTACTGAGTAGGGTGCACCCAGTGAACTATTTTCCAGTGCTGAGAGGTTCAGTGTTCTCTGCCTCCAGCTCTAAAGAGGATTAGCTTCACCTTACCCAAGCCTTTGGGTGCTGCAGTGGCCTGCTGCGATCCGGCTCCTTTGGGAAAAGAGGGAGAGGAACAAGAAACATATTCTTAAGATTCCCAGAGATCATTTCTCACAGGTCAATCAATCTCTTCCAGCCAGGTGGCTTCTAGAAGGACAAACACTCGTTTTACATGTGCCTAAGGGGTTTTGCATCTTGTATAAACCAGCTATATAAATTTTAAGTTGCTTTTATTGTCTTTTATGTGCATTTTAGATCTGATTTTAGTTTAGTTTTTGCAATGTCACTACCACATTAGAACTAAATGTTTATTTTTGCTACAAGTTAAATATAGAAAATCATCAGTAGAGCCCGACCGATATATTGTTTAACCGATATTATCGGCGGCGATATATCGGTATCCGTCTTTTTTTCTCCCTAATATCGGTATCGGCATCGCCCCCCCAAAAACCCATATCGGTTGGGCTCTAATCATCAGTCTTTAGTCTTTATTTAACTCTGTAATTTATCGATTAAGTCTGCTGAAAAATTTGGGGTAATTAGGTTTTGTTTTTGACCGAAATTATGCATTAAATTGATCAAAAGTGACAGTAAAAACTTTAGTCTTTTGTTACAAAAATAGTAAGCAACACAGCAACTGTTTTCAAAACGGATAAAAATTTGAAATGTTTCTTCAGCGTAGTGATTTCTGAAGGATCATGTGACACTGAATTCAGCTTTACCTTCACAAGAATAAATTACATTTTAAAACATATCCAAATAGAAAATGGTTATTTTAAATTGTAATACTTTTTCTCAATATTAGTGTTTTTACTGTATTTCTGATCAAATAAATGCAGTCTTGGTGAGCATAAGAGACTGTTATATATATATAAAAATACAGACCCCAAATTTTTGAATGCTAGTAAATCTGAAATTTTGAATGCTAGTTTTGTAATTACCTTACAAAAAGTACTTTGGTACCATGGTTGTATCAGATGCTAATACTGTGGTATTTTGAAATATACCATGGTACTGAAATCCAGGTACTCTTGTAAGAACTTTGAAAATACTATATCAAATATGAAATATTATGGTACATGAATTTCAATACCATGGTATATCGAAGTTCCATATTATCATCACTGTAATATGTTTTGACATCACAATATTTTTGTTAGTGATATCATGGTATTAACATGATACGCCAAAGTACTTAAAATAATATATTGTCCAAAAAACATGGTTTTAACCATGGTGTCATGTCCAAAAAACATATAATAGCATGCTGCTTTGATCGATACTATGATACTATCTGGTTACCATACTTTAAAATCATAATGATCAAGCTTAAAAAACAGACTATTACCATTGGTCCCATGTCCACAAAACGTAGTATACAATAAATAATACCATGGTACTTTTTGTAAGTGTAATTTCTGATTATGGCAGAATCCCAAATGTTTCGAATAGCTCAGCCTCATTAAGAAAAACTGACTTTTGAAGTAAAATATGATTTATGTGATTATTAAAGATGACTGAGGTTTTGCACAATGGTGGTAAATTGTCACCCACCCTTCATATGCTGACCTTTGGAGTCATCATCATCTGTAAAGAAAAGGGAAAATCGATACAGTTTATAACAACCGCTCCTTTGTTATGCCCTTCTCCTCTTTCTGTCCCGAATCCCTCGCAGATCTGCTGACTGTTATCAGAATAATATGAGCCCATAGAGTTTTAAGTGAAATGCTCTTTTGTTTTCTCTATGAGACTTTGGGCTTACTCACATTAATGCGTTTATGGTGTTAACAATGGGTTTATGAAGCTAAACGGACTTTAAAAAAGTTTTAAAAGAGATTTACTTTAAAACTGTTTATCATGAACATTATAGTGTTAGCTTCTCATTTTGTCCTTTTGCAGGATCACATCTAGTGTCAAACTGCCCACAATATGAGCTTCTTGATGTGGTACGATCGTCTCTCATCAGGACGATGATGAGGTAACATCTTAAAGAACTTCATCTCCTACCCTCTTCCTCCTCAGACAGTTCTTCTTCGCCCTCTTCAGCCTCAAAGTCATTTTCCTCAGGCTCCTTATCTGTCCGGAGAAATAATTCAGCAGTTTAATGAGTGGGTAAAGACGTGTGGGCGCTGTATGTTGAACATAAGAGTGTGTCATTAAATAATCCCTCTGGGAAAAGAGCTCGTACCTTCAACAGGAGCCGTTGATAGGGTGGACGCCAGAAACACAACAGCCACTGAAGCAATTACAAGATTTCTGTGAAAGCAAAATGATAAGAGTCCAGAATAAGCACATGTGAAGCAAATTCAACCCAGAAAACACAATGAGATGCTGTTTAATGTTATGTCACACTTAGTAGACAAGAAAATTAGCAATTTATCATGCATTTGATCAAAAACAGCTGAAAATGGGCATTAAAATCCAACAATACTCTTGAGAAATGCATGCTTTTAATTTTATTTTTATATCATTATAACGTACATAAAAAG